TGGGATGACAGACGGACGGAAATAATTTATTTTGGGTTGTACCTGACAAAAAATAAGTTTTTATTCCAAATTTCAAGCTGATGGTACTTTCCTGTAAGAGGTTGGATAAAGGCATGGACAGATGGGATGACAGACGGACGGAAATAATTTATTTTGGGTTGTACCTGACAATAAATAAGTTTTTATTCCAAATTTCAAGCTGATGGCACTTTCCTGTAAGAGGTTGGATAAAGGCATGGACAGATGGGATGACAGACGGACGGAAATAATTTATTTTGGGTTGTACCTGACAAAAAGTAAGTTTTTATTCCAAATTTCAAGCTGATGGTACTTTCCTGTAAGAGGTTGGATAAAGGCATCGACAGATGGGATGACAGACGGACGGAAATAATTTATTTTGGGTTGTACCTGACAAAAAATAAGTTTTTATTCCAAATTTCAAGCTGATGGTACTTTCCTGTAAGAGGTTGGGTTAAAGCAAGGACAGATGGGAGGACAGACGGACCGAAATAAATTTTTCTGGGTTATACCTGATAAAAAATAAGTTTTTGTACCAAATTTCAAGCAGATGGCACTTTCCTGTAAGAGGTTGGGTCAAAGCATGGACAGATGGGAGGATAGACGGACGGAAATAATTTATTTTGGGTTGTACCTGACAAAAAATAAGTTTTTATTCCAAATTTCAAGCTGATGGCATTTTCCTGTAAGAGGTTGGGGAAACGCATGTTTACATGGGAGTACAGTCGGACGGAAATTACAGGCAACATTGCACATTGTAATAAAAAAAGGGCGCGGGCATGGATAAATGGAGAGACGGATGGACGTAATTATGATGCTATATGATACGTGTTTTACAAAAAGGATCCTTCTTTTGCCTTTTTAAATTTCAATTTAGTAGCTTTTTCCTTACGATCCTGTTTGAAATGCGGTTCGCATTAAAATTTTGATCTGCAAGCGACTTTATATTTATTAGCTACAATGAGAAAAAGGTCTAATCAGTATCAGACGCCATTTTGTATTATACTATGTTAGCGCATTAATGAATGTGTGCATTCCCGGAAGAACTTTCCAGAAAATATCATCTTTGCGTAAACTGCTAATATTTTGCACGAAATATGCTATTGTTACATTAAAAACTGTACAATGGAAACTTTTCTATGCCGTCTGCTCAAGACTTTTGAATAAACTGCACACAAAAAGAAGAATTTTGATACCTACACGCACTCTCTATCCGCCCCCAATTTGAACCATGCAAGATACGGCATTTTGACCCAACAAATTTGGGGAACAACACAGAAATGGGTAAATTTCCCGGAATGCTCAAATTTCTAGTTAGATTTTATTAAAAACACGATCATTTTGAGAGAATTGTTTTGTATTTACTTCGACACCCGCACACCTGTTGATGACGTGGCGCCGTTATCTTCGTCCCAACGTGGCAGATTGCAATAGAAAGTTTCCAATTTTATTCTAATTTCGAATTTGGAAGAAAGTATTAAACAAACGAAATACCCACGGTGGGTTTTAGGTTTGTTCGTATTATCAGTAATTGCATTTTTTGAATATTTACATACGTCACGCCATCTATGTCTGAACTCTATCGTGTGAAGCCAACGCTAAGTTTTGGACATTATCCTGCAAAATTATTGTAGATTAAAAAATCAAACGTAGGTACTTAAAAAGGGTTGGCAGTGAAATAATTGCGTGAAGGATTAGGTACCTACTCAATGGTGAAATACCTAGGTACTCTAATTTTTGCATGCACACAAAGTGGGTGCCATTTTGTTTGAAACAGATTTGCCTATTTTACATCTAATTTTCTACGTTTTTACATTACACCCCAATAAAACAAATTAAAAACTCACCCCTTAAGCCTTATAGTTCATTCTCTCCAAGGAATGGACCAAATTTCCACGGGAAAAAGACGAGACGCTTCGTTGCACATCCGCACTACCCGAACTATCACTGGCTTCTGAGCGAACAGGTAACATCGTGATCATGTGACGGAAAGGTGCGAAGAATAATCGCCTTAACGAAGTTCTTTGGTTGGGTTCAGAGTCGCGCGGACTGTCTTATCTTGAGTCGACATTCAAAAACGAAGTTTATTCACAAGCTTCGTGTTGACCTTGGCGTTTTGAATACACACGAATTAAAATTATTCTGGAGCTCTACAATTTTGATGAAAAAATAAAATTATAGACTCTCCTTAATGTACAGGGGGTTTCACTTCAACTTGATCTGTTTCAAGTTCAGTTTACCGAGAGGATCATACAGTAATATTGAATCCCTTACATTTTTTGATTCTTTATGTCTTTTAATTGACGACACTATGTACCTCCTTTTTTTAAAAATTATTTAGAGTCTGTGATATCTGCTACAGCCTTTAAATGTCTTCAAAAGTTTACCCTTAGAAGGCGCAAAAGGTCATTAAGCTCTGACAATCTCTAGGAGTTGCCAATAGTTTCTAAAACCGCAAAGAATCCGCTTACGCCCGCATTTCAAAGGTTTTTTGGATACTTAAGGTTCCCTGCTCTTTAAATGTTCTTAAGGCCCAAGGTTTTTTGGGTTATCAAGAGATTTAGTACACCTTTGAATGATTTTATAAGGAGACTCAAGTCCGAAGCTTAAGGTACCGTTAAATTTTTATTAGAGCGTCCTTAAGGGTGTCTAAGTACTTGATTACCTTTAAAAGGTCCTAATCCTGCCCACGAGAACTACAATTAGGGTTTTCTGGGCTGTTTAATAGGTAACTTTCAAGGGTATTTGGGAACCTTTAAGAACATTCTCTAGCAGATCCTTTTAGAGTTAATAGTGACCTATAAGAGCAGTAGAAGGGAGCCTCCTCACCCCACCACTTTTTGTGACACAAGGCCATGGCTTTGGGATTTCCAGCTACCTTGGTTACGTCACAAGGTTATGCCGGAACAATTTATGATTATTATAGTACCAGGAGTGGTCCCAGTCGGTTCCGGCTCTGCAACTTGTTGGTCTATTGTGCTACCCTTAAAGAATACTTGTATTTTGTCCAGGATTTTGATAGGATGAACTCTCGTTACTTCTCTTGTCTAATTTTACTTCCCGCACGTTAGTAAGGGAGGTACCTATTGCATTGGGGTAAAATAAGACCCTCCATTTTTTTGACGAAAATACACGTTTTAAACCACAAGGAATCCGAATCAATCAAAATCTCCATGATGTGGATCCGTCTGTCGGTGTGTCGGTCTGTCGACCTGTACGCCTGTCGGTCGGTTAGTCTGTCGGTCTGTCGGCCTATAGGTCTGTCAGTCTGTGGGTCTGTCGCTCTGTCGGCCTGTGAGTCTGTCGGTCTGTTGGTCTCTCTGCCTGCACTCTCATTTCCGGCTAAACGGCTGAACCGATTGGAACCAAATCTGGTACATATATTCTTAGACATAAAAGGGTAGAATCGCCCATGTGCAGGTGTGGGGATGGTATCTGGGCTAGTGACAGCAAGGTTTTTTTATTTCCCAGTAGACCTTCCCTTGTCTTTGTGGCTTCACATTGGCAAATAACGTGGTGTGGTGTTTCTTCTTCCTCACCCCTGTATAACGGGCTGTCAGTCAGTCCCATTTTGTGGAGGTGTTTGTTAAAACGTGTCCAGTGACCATTTCTTGCCGCTTTCGCGTCGTCAGCGACCTGGTTACAGGAAATCGCTATTTCAGTTACATCCACTATTCTGTGGATAGCAAGTTCGCAGGATTTTGCTGGTTGATAGGCACACTGGTTTTTACTGATGGGTTTGGGCCCCAGAACCTCATTCCTTATGGTTCGCTTAACAAGTTTGTCCATTACTTTTCGGAAAAACGACGTTAGATTGACGGGTCTAAACGACTTGGCCTGGATGTGTGAGTCTCGTCCAGGTTTCGGTATGAAGACGACTTTTACGTCCCTCCAAGCCATAGGTATGTATCCCAAGGCAAAACGTGCCCTTAGTAACGTACATAGTGTGGAGGCTAGTAGGTCGAGCCTTGTTGTAGTAAAACAGGGAGAATACCATCCATCCCTAGGGATTTATACGGATGGATTTGTTTAAATATAATCATGGGGATGGTCCTCTACTCCAGGATTTCCCATGGCGTTGTTTACCGCGGTACTGATTACCCTCCTCTTGCTTGCGCTGGGCCCCCCTACATTCCTGAACAGAATTTGCAGCTTTTCTTCCATGGCCTTGGCCTGTTCCGAGTATTTCCATTGAACGCTCAGCCTGGACGTCGCCCCCACCCCCCAATCTTCACTACCATCTGAGGAAGTTTTCGCATGCCTACTATGGCCGCCGCCTTGGATTTTCCTCCACTAGTTTTAACCTCTTTACCCCCATCCACCTGTCGATGGCTTCTATGGTGGTGTCCATACGTCGTTTCACCTCCTCCACTTCCCTATTCGTAGCTACCACTGTGAGGTCATCTGCAAAAGCAACCAACTTCACCCCTCTCGGTTCCGTCATGCCTACTACTTCATCGTACGCCATATTCCATAGCAGTGGTCCTAATACTGATCCCTGAGGGGCGCCTCCATTTACTTCTATTTCATAACTATTCCCGGACAGTGGTCTTAGACTAATTTTCCGCTCGGTTAAGTAGCTTACAAATTGTGGTCGACGCTCCCGTCCTTTTTAGAGCGTCTATTATCGCATCCGACTGTTAAACGCGTTTTGGACGTCTAGAGATGCCATGATAACCACCACCCTGGTCCGCCACGTAGCTGCCTTAGCCATTCTAGCCGTCTCCACCAATCCTGGGAGTGCTTCCTTCTTTGGTCCCACTTTCTTTCACGAAACCGTCGGGCCAGACATACGTAAGGAGATAAATAGTTGGGCGCACTCCTGCAAACCCTGCCAGCGGGCCAAGATCCGGCGGCACAATCTCTAGAACCGGCGTTTTCTTTAAGTTACAAATAAGTATGGCCCTCCCTTGAAAAATGCTCACTCTAAGAAAAATTGAAAACTGGATCGACGAAGAAACGATACAGAAAGGATTGATTTCAAGTTTTTTATTGAACTACCACTATCTATACATCTGAAATGGCCGGGATTATCTTCTCGTACACCTTAATGCTGTCCAAAAAGACATTGACATTTAAATATTCGTCATTCTCGTGGATTCTAAACTCGGTACGCCGGTTTGGCGTAAACCCTATGGCTGGAATACCCACCGACCTCAAAAATCGCGCATCTGTATTCGCAGAGTACACTTCGAGCTCGAATTGCAGATTCCTGAAAGAGGAGTATAGTATAGCGACACTCCGTAGGTGGCTCACAGTTGGTTCAGTGTCGACTTGAATGCCGTCCAGAACGCGTTGGTATCTCCCAGAACCGTATTTGGAATAACCTGATCTTTGATTAGATCTTCAATCCAAACTCCATCCCCCGCCTCCTTGCACCATCGCATCACCTTCGCCTCGAACTCCTGCGACTGCTCGAAGGGTACGCGCGTGTCGAAGGTCAAAACGAATTCCGAAGGAATCACATTGTGTTGGACACCCCCTTGGATGACCGTCAAGTTCACGGAGGTCACAGCAGCCTTGGTCTTCTCCTGGATCTGCTCTTGCTGCTCACGAAACGTGTAGAACCTGTCAACGATCGCTTGAACCTTCTCTCCGGCTGTGTTTTCCAGCAGCCCGGCTCCGTGACCCGTATCCCCGGTGCAGTGCACGTTAAATTCTGCAAGAGAAGCATCAACTAGACCGCAAACTCGGAACACACCTACTCCAGTTTTTCTTTTCCCCATAAAACACCTTCAGAGTATCGCCTACGGCGCCGATCCCCTCGTCTATGGCAAACCCCACATTCAGCTTCCGAAACTCGTCCATCTTAACAAAATCCTTCATCCCCTGCAACCCGCCGATCTCCTCCTCCGCCGCGAAACTCACGTGGACGGTTCGCTTCGGTTGCGCTCCGCCGGCCTTCAACCTTCTGATCGCCTCCAGGTACTGAATTCCGCCACACTTGGTGTCCTGAGCACCGCGCGCGTAGATGTCACCTTTCTCGTCCATTTCGGCGGCGAAAGGTCCGTGCGTCCATTTGTCCTGCGAGTAAAGTTCAAGTGACGGGCGCACTGCGTGGTACTTACCTCGAAGACGGGCACCACGTCCATGTGACTGTTTAGGAGGATCGTCGGAAGGGCTGGCTCGTGGCCGGGCCATGTCAGAATCACCATCGGTTTTTCGGGGGTGATCCGGTGGACTGCGAAGTCTAGCCCGATACTTTTCGCCTGCCTCTCCAGGAAACTAACGCATTTGTCTGGAGCGATAGTCAGCGGACAGTTCGAGGGAGATGCTACTTACCATAGTTGATGTTCGGATGGACAGACGGAATTCGGAGGTATTCTCGAAAGTTTTCTACGGCTAGTGCGTCCGAGTCGTTTAGTGTCGGCAACATTTCGACGATAACTGCGACCGTGCTATATTTGTCTTTACTCCTAAGATACTTGCAGGAGGTTAACCGCAAATACCACACCAGGTGCCTGTTTTTTGAGTAAATAGTGTGAAAAATATTTTCCCGGCCTTGAAATTGTAAGCTATACGAAAAACCTGTGGGATACGATTTTCGGCAAGAAGGTGACCTTATGTACTCCTAATAGTATCACCTTCGAACGGCACTTGTTGTTGTTACGCACACTACGATTTTATGCCGGGGAACATAATACTTACGAAGAGGTGATTATGAATACACTGAAATCAGTTGTAACAGTATCTGTTTATGTGATCCTGATCCTTATCCTCAAACTCTTTTATTCATGCACTTCTGTGATGCTAATACTCTTTGAAACTAGAACTGAGAACACAGTACGTAGGAAGTAATTATTAATATATTTTCAACCTTCAACCAGGGCACGATAGGTATCGGAAAAGGAACGTTGGATCTTTATTTTTCCTGAGAGGTGTTCTGTATCCTCCAGAGCACCGGGTTCTACATTCCCCTCAAACCTAAGATGGATTGCTAGTAGACTTCAAACCGTCTTCTATTTCCTCGATCTTGATGCAATAGTCCTTTTTGAAAAAAAATTTGTATCAGGAGTAAACATTTTTCCATTAATTGTGATTTCCCTGCATTGCTGTGATCCTGATACGGTTTTAAGATAAGAATTTGTTTTAGGGGAAGGTAACACCAAATAAGACTATTTTTGATACGCCTGAAACCACTTTGATACAATAGTTCTTTTGTAATGGGAAATCTGCACTATGAACGGAAATCTGAAAATTAATTTTTCTGTTCTCCCCATACAATTTAAAGTGGAAATTTGTACGTGACCGTTAATAGACCTGAAGACCAATAGCACGGATCGGTCAATAAGTGCCATCCTTCATGCGTTCCTGTAACCTTGATACGTTTCTAACATCTAAATTTATATTAGATAAGTACACTCGATCCTGAGATACGCAAAATTTGTATCAGGAGCCAGAATCTGTCAATTAATTTCAGTTTTCTTGTATTGCTGAGATCCTGGCATTTTTTAAGGTAACAATTTCTATGATGACCTGATACAATAGTTCTTTTGATGAGAAATTTGCATCAGGAGTTATTCTTGCATTGCTGTGACCCTAATACGTGTTTAAGAAATTTGAGTTGTGGTGGTTTTGGTAGACCTGGAACTTGCTTTTATTCCCTTGCTGGTGTCAGGGAAGCATAGTACGTAAAGAAACGAATTTAGGTCTACTCGAAACACTTTTGTGTCCCTATGATCCTGATACAAGAACTTAAGTGACTGTTTTGATACAGAAATTTGTATCAAGCGATATCTAAAATCAATTTTACACTTTTGGGAAACCCTCTTGTATTTTTATGATCCTGGGATAATATTATCTTTCAACACGTAGTTTGTAAAGAGGAGAAGCCTGTCAATCAGTTTCGACCTTTCGTTTCTGTAGTACCAACACGTTTTTAAATTCGAAATTTGTATCAGGAGAACATGATACCTAATCGAGGGAATGCACAATTCCTTACACCCTCCTTGAGTTTCTGTGATCTTGATATACCAAGATTTCAACTTTCTTGGTATCCTGGGATTTTAATACTGCGTGTTAATAGGCGTGTAGAACATTGAATGAGAATTTTGTGTCGAGAGTAACCCTGTCACCCTCTAAAATTGGCATTAGTATCAGGGGAAAATAGCGCGCAAGGAGGAGGTTGAGGCTTTCAACTTTCTTGTATGTCGACTTGTGTAATCCTGCGACCAGAACATTGGAAACTTGGAGCAGGGGAGCAGAGGACGTAGAAGGGTGATTGCTAAACCTTAAACGTGATTGAATTTAGTCTATAATTAGGCTCTCTTGTTTTCCTGTGATCCTAATGCTTCCAAAAACGAAATTTGTGGTCCAGATAGAATGACTTCTTTCAAGAAAGAATCTGTTTGAAAATGTGGGGCCCGACATTCTTGCTTTATGTGTTTTTTGCATTTTTTTAAAGTCGCGGTTTGTATCAGGGGAACATAATACAAAATGTGGCTGTTAGCCCACCTTCTTGGCAACATTTTTTTAGTAGACATTTATAAAAAGAGAGTTAGAGAAAGGATTTGGAACATTTGGAAGCTAGGCTTCTCAAATGGAGGTATCAGGATAACATAACGAAATGAAGTAGACTTTTAATGATTACAATTTCTAGGATTAATTAAGATACACTGGCAAGCTCCGGGAATAAATCGTAATAGAATTGTATCCCCTCCAGAAATTGTCGCACGTTAATGCATTCATCATGATCGTGAGCCAACGGTTTAGTGTGCCTGAGGGGTGATAAACCTACGCCAGGAATTCCCATCCCTCTCAGGAAGCGAATATCGGTCGCGCCCACACATACCTCCTCTTGAAGTTTCACATTCCTGGGAAGATTGTGTACAGGGTGCGTGAAAAATAGAGAACAAAGTTACCTCTTGTTGGCCACCTTCTTCAGCGCAAACCAGTATGGGCAGGTCTCCAAACGCGTAACCGATCTTTGGGGCTCCTTGCTGTGATACTCCAACCAAACCCGTTCCCCAGCTTCTTTGCACCAACGGTTGATCTTTGCCTCGAAGTCAGCAACGTTGGTGTTTGGCGATATCCTTACATCGTAAGTCAGGGTTAACTCTTCCGGTACGACGTTAGGCTGTACACCTCCCTGAAATCAGGCTATTTTAGCACCACCACCACGCGTCGGCCAACCTACGCCCAACTGCGTCAAGTTCACCGAGGTGACGTCCCAGTGCTTCAACTTGGGATTATCTTCCAGCTTCTTCTCCTCGCTCCGGCGGTAATCGGAGAAGCGGTCGATTAAGAGACGCACCTTCTCCGCGGCCGTGTCCTTCAAAATGCGCGAAGCATGACCGGTCTGTCCGGGACAGTGAATTGTGAACTCTAAAACGTGAATACTACAATAGCTCGACGAAATCTAGTGGATGCTTACGCCAGCAGGCTTTCTCGCCGTAGTAGGCGACGTAGTGGTCGCCCGGGGACGGGTCACCTTCATCCAGACCGAAACCGACGTTCATCTGGCGAAATGCCTCCGTAGTCACGAAGCTCTCCAACCCTGGCTCCCCATGCTCCTCATCTACGGCACAATGAGCTTAAATCACCGGGAGTTTACCTACCGGGTACGAAAGAAACGTAGATCGTCCTTTTCGGTTGGACGCCGTTCAGCTTTAACCGACGAATCGCCTCCAGGTACATAATCGAAACGGTCTTCATGTCCTGAGCGCCACGTCCGTAGATGTTCCCCGCGTCGTCAATTTCCGCTCCAAATGGCAATCGCGTCCATTTCTCCTCGTAGACGGGGACGACGTCCATGTGCCCGTTCAGCAGTATGCTTTGCAGGCCGACCTCCTTGCCCTCCCACTTGAAAATGGCAACCGGTTTCGTGACCTGGACGTTTCGGTACACCTGGACCGTCAAACCCAGGTCGCGCGCGTACTCCTCGAGGAATTTAATGCACGACTCTAAGCGGTTTATGTCTTAGGTACAAAAGATAAATGCCCCACTTACCATAGTTAACGTTGGGGTGCACGGATGGTATTTGGAGGTACTCCCGCAGTTTCTCGACGGCCTTTTTGTCTAAAACGCCGAGGCTCTGGAGGATCGCGGACATTTTCGAATGAGTTGTTTGTTAACTTTCGTGTTATCTACTTGCGGTTTATTTATACCACACAAGGACGCGTTTTGTTTGTGTATTTTCGTGGAGCGGGCAAGCTACGTCATGCCGAGAAAGTCGACTACCTATGGACGGACTCCATACCCTGCCTGGGTTTAAATTGAAGGTGCCTCGGGTATTGTCGGTAGGCGACGACATCTCTCGACAGGGTACAAATAAATCTGCCACCTCCGGTTTATTGTAATTGTAGGTGACATCAATGTCAATAAAACACACGACGAGCTTAATCCAATGAGGGGTTCGAAGGAAACTTTGATTCAATAGGGGTCCAATGGATTCAAGGGGTCAACAGATCAAAGATAAGAAGATCAAAGAAGACCCATTCATAACTCGAGGCGCTGAGTAAATTTTAGGGGAACTCAAAAGCCATTGTGGCACCAGGATGCAAGATAACCAAGAATGCCCTAAAGCATATTGAAGTATCTGTCGGAAGTCTCATAATACCCATAAAACTCAATAGAAGAATACCCAGATTTGCAAGAATCAAAGGACGTCGGAAAATTAAAGAACTCAGAAGATCCGGGATACAGAATTTCCAGAAAACCATAGGAGGCTGAGAAAACAAAAAATCCGAAAAAAGGGTGGGAGAAACTCAAAGAATTCAGAAATGGGGACGAGATAAACAATCAAAATAAATAATACAACAAGAAAGGTAAAACAAGACTCGTTGAGGAGGTACTCCGAGAAAATTGAACACATTCCAGAAGGTGCCAGACTCCAAAGAGCCTTACAAAAAGGGAACAGAAAATTTCGGGTGGTCGCGGACAGGCAGGTCGACGGACCGATCGAAATCATGGAGATTTTGTTTGATTCGGATTCCTGCTGGTTCAAAACGTATTTCCGTAAAAAAAGTGGGGGTCATACTTTACCCCTCCCTTACTAACGTGCGAGTGGTAAAATTAGACAAGAGGAACTAACGGGGGTTCGCCCTATCAAACTCCTGGACTTTGTCAAAGATACAGGTATCCTTGATGGGTAGACAATACCCGGTAGCACAATACAGCAAAAGGTCGCAGTGCAGGAACCGACTGGGACCATCCCTAGTACTATAATAGTAGCAAATAGTTACGGCACCAAGGCCATAACCTTGGCAACGTCTCTCCTTTGTTGCGCAACCGGGAAATCCCCATCACCAAGCCCAAGACTTTTTTGTTGGGAAATACCAAGGCCACGACATAACCGACAGATAGTTTTCTTAACGTTTCCCAAAATACCCTTGAAAGTTGCCTATCAACCGGGGTTGAAGCGCTAATTGTAAAGACTGTAGCTCTCGTGGGCTGAGTTAGGACCTTTTAAAAGTAATAAATTACTATAACAACCCTTGGACACCCGCTCTATAAAAGCTTAACGGGAGTTGAGTCGTCTTATATGCCCTTTTTGGCTCCTAAAATGCTTCAAAAGGCACTAATTATCTTGATCACCAAAAAAACCTTAGGCCTTGACAACTTTTAAAGTGCAGGGAATCTTAAGTATCCAAAATAACCTTTGAAATGCGTGCATAAGCGGATTCTTTCAATTTAGAAACTATTGGCAACTCCTAGAGGTTGTTAATGACCTTTACGCCGTCTAAAGTGGAAGCTTTTGAAGGCATTTAAAGGCTGTAGCATATATCATAGAGCTCTAAACAGTTTCCAAGAAAAAATGGAGGGGCATAGTGTCGTCAATTAGAAGACGTAAAGAAGCGAACGAATTTAAGTGATTCAGGTGCAAATGTTTTGAGGGAGTTTCCAAAGAATTCGGGACATTTAATTTTGGGCTATGAAATTTAATTTATAGACGAAGGGAAAAAGAGCGGTCTCCTTTGTATAGGTCCTCCCGGTAAACTTGAAACAGATAGACTGAAATTAAACGCCCTGTACATTAAGGAATCGATAATTTTACTTGTTTATCAAAATTGTGGAGCTCCAGAATAATTTTAATTCAGCTGTACTCAAAACGCTTAGTCAATACGAATTTTGGGAATAAATTTCGTCTTTGAATTGTCGACTACAGATAAGGCGGTCCGATTATTCTTCGCACCTTTCCGTCACCTGATCACCATATTACCTGTTCGTGTTCGTGTTCGCTCAGAAGCCAGTGATAGTTCGGGTAGTGCGGATGTGCAACGAAGCGTCTCGTCTTCTTCCCGTGGAAATTTGGTCCATCCCTTGGAAAGAATGAACAGATAAGGCTTAAGGGGTGAGTTTTTAATCTGTTTTATTGAAGTGTAATGTAAAAATCAAGAAAATCAAATGTACAATGAGGAAACAAACCACATATGCCTCCATCAAAATGGCACCCACTTTATGTGCATGCAAAAATTAAAGTAGGTATTTCACCATTGAGTAGGTACCTAATCTTCACGCAATTATTTCACTGCCAACCCTTTTTAAATATGTTTGATTTTTTTAATCTGCAAGCAATAATTTTGCACGATAAGGTCCCAAAGCGTTAACTTCACAAGATGGAGTTCAGACAGACGCGGCGTGACGTAATATTCAAAAAAAGTAATTATTGATAATACGAACAACCCTAAAACCCACGGTGGATATTTCGATTGTTTAATACTTTCTTCCAAATTTGAAATTAGAATAAAATTGGAAACTTTCTTTTGCAATCTGCCACACGTTGCAACGAGATAACGACGCCACGTCATCAACAGGTGTGCGGGCGAGCGTCGAAATAAATACAAAACAATTCTCTCAAAATGGTCGTGTTTTTAATTAAATCCAAATAAAATTTGAGCGTTCCGGGAAATTATCCCATTTTTGTGTTGCTCACCAATATTTTGGATCAAAATTCCGTCTTGCGTGGTTCAAATTGCGATGGATAGAGAGTGCGCGTATCAAAAGTCTTCTTTTTGTGTACAGTTTATTCAAAACTCTTGAGCAGATGCCATAAAAAAGTTTCCATTGTACAGTTTTTAAGGCAACAATAGCATCTTTTTTCTTTCGTACAAAGTATTAGTAATTCACGCAAAGATGATATTTTCTGGAAAGCACACAAAATGAGACCTTTTTTTTTCATTAATATTTAATGCGTTAATCAGAAATATTCACTGATGAGGCCTTTTTCTCATTGCAGCTTATAAATACAAAGTCGCTTGCAGATAATTTTTGATAAAAACTCCTTTTTTGAAATGTATAAGCCTGAGAAAAATGTTTCCGCCCGTCTGTCCTTCCATCTGTCCATACCTTTACCCAATCCCATTCAGGAAAGTGCCATCAGCTTCAAATTTTATGATAAAAAACGCCTTTTTTGAAAGGTATAACCCAGAGAAAAATATTTCCGCCCTTCTGTCTTTCCATCTGTCCATATCTTTACCTAATCTCATACAGGAAAGTGCCATCAGCTTCAAATTTTATGATAAAAACTCCTTTTTTGACAGGTATAACCCCGAGAAAAACATTCCCGCCCGTCTGTCCTTCCATTTGTCCATGCCTTTACCCAATCTCATTCAGGAACGTGCCATCAGCTTAAAATTTTATGTAAAAGCTCCTTTTTTGACAGGTATAACCCAGAGAAAAACATTCCCGCCCGTCTGTCCTTCCATTTGTCCATGCCTTTACCCAATCTCATTCAGGAACGTGCCATCAGCTTGAAATTTTTTATAAAAACAACTTTTTTAACAGGTATAACCCAGAGAAAAATATTTCCGTACGTCTGTCCTCCCATCTGTCCATAGCTTTACCCAATCTCATTCAGTAAAGTGCCATCAGCTTCAAATTTTATGTTAAAAACTCCTTTTTTGACAGGTATAACCCAGAGAAAAATATTCCCGCCGTCTGTCCTCCCATCTGTCAATACCTTTACCCAATCTCATTCAGGAAAGTGCCACCAGCTTAAAATTTGTGATAAAATCTCCTTTTTTGATAGGTATAACCCATAGAAAAATAATTCCACCCGTTTGTCCTTCCATCAGTCCATGCTTTTACCCAATCTCATACAGGAAAGTGCCATCAGGTTCAAATTTTATAATAAAAACTCCTTTTTTGACAGGTATAACCCAGAGAAAAATTTTGACAGGTATAACCCAGAGCCCTTCTGTCTTTCCATCTGTCCATATCTTTACCTAATCTCATACAGGAAAGTGCCATCAGCTTCAAATTTGTGATAAAAACTCTTTTTTGACAGGTATAACCCAGAGAAAAATATTTCCTCCCGTCTGTCTTTCCATCTGTCCATACCTTTACCCAATCTCATACAGGAAAGTGCCATCAGCTTCAAATTTTATGATAAAAACTCCTTTTTTGACAGGTATAACCCCGAGAAAAATATTCCCGCCCGTCTGTCCTTCCATCTGTCCATGCCTGCACCCAATCTCATACAGAAAATTGCCATCAGCTTGAAATTTGTGATTAAAACTCTTTTTTTGACAGTTAGACAAACATTTCCGTCCGTCTGTCCTTTCATCTGTCCATGCCTTTACCCAATCTCATACAGGAAAGTGCCATCAGCTTCAAATTTTATGATAAAAACTCCTTTTTTGACAGGTATAACCCAGAGAAAAATATTTCCGCCCGTTTGTCCTTCCATCTGTCCATGCCTTTACCCAATGTCATACAGGAAAGTGCAATCAGCTTAAAATTTTATGATAAAAACTCCTTTTTTGGCAGCTATAACCCAGAGAAAAAGATTCCCGCCCGTCTGTCCTTCCATCTGTCCATGCCTTTACCCAATCTCATACAGGAAAGTGCCATGAGCTTAAAATTTTATGATAAAAACTCCTTTTTTGACAGCTATAACCCAGAGAAAAAGATTCCCGCCCGTCTGTCCTTCCATCTGTCCATGCCTTTACCCAATCTCATACAGGAAAGTGCCATCAGCTTAAAATGTTATGATAAAAACTCCTTTTTTGACAGCTATAACCCAGAGAAAAAGATTCCCGCCCGTCTGTCCTTTCATCTGTCCATGCCTTTACCCAATCTCATACAGGAAAGTGCCATGAGCTTAAAATTTTATGATAAAAACTCCTTTTTTGACAGGTATAACCCAGAGAAAAATATTTCCGCCCGTTTGTCCTTCCATCTGTCCATGCCTTTACCCAATGTCATACAGGAAAGTGCAATCAGCTTAA